GGGATGGAACACAAAACCTCCAAGAGCAGGAAAAATTGTCCCAGAGAGCACCTTTTCACTAAGACATTGAGAAATGCATTGATTTGGGGGTCACCAGCATCTTTAAAAAACTCAGGTCAGGGATCAGGGTGGGAGATTTCACCATTGAAATAGATTCCTTGATTTCAAGCCAGAGTAACAGAGGCCAGGTGTCAGGTCTTAAGCACCAGAGACTAGGTAAATGCAGTTACTAAAATGGGAGCTAGGACCAGAGTGGCAGTAAGAATGTTTTAACTCACCTAGATCTTTGATGGTGGCTATTAATTACAGTGGATTAAATAGACAGGCACTTTACTTAAGTCATTTTTGATCTACACAATCAGACAAATTCCAGTCCTGGTAGTGAGATGCCTTCTCTTTTGGAGAGAAAGAGTGAAGGCATATATTTTCACATTAAGTGGAATGGCTGCATCCTGTTAGGCAGATGCATGCTGCTATTTCTTTGTTATATGGAAGTTATATGGAAGTTAAGCATGGTAGAATGGTGCTGAGTACCCAACAGGTTACTCTTTGTGGGAGACTAATGGGAGACCATTTGACAAGAGGAGATGCCTTTTTTTTTTTAACTTTGTTGGGGAACAGTGTGTTTTTCCCAGGACCCACCAGCTCGAAGTCAAGTTGTTGTCCTTCACTCATAGTTGTGGAGGGCACAGCTCAGCTCCAAGTCCAGTCGCGGTTTTCAATTTAGTTGCGGGGGGCGCAGCCCACCACCCCATGCAGGAGTCAAATTGGCAACCTTGTTAAGAGCACGTACTCTAACCAACTGAGCCATCCGGCTGCCCACTGGCAGCTCAGCTCAAGTTGTTGTCCTGAATCTAGTTGCGGAGGGCACAGCTCACTGGCCCACGCGGGAATTGAACTGACAACCCTGTTGCTCAGAGCTCACGCTCTAACCAACTGAGCCACCCGGCCGCCCCAGGAGAAGCCATTTTTTATTTCTTGCTTCTGTTGGAATTTCCAGCAGCTTCTGGGTTCCTACTAAAGCAGGGAATTTCCAGGGGCTGCAGTGGCAGAGTGTGCCCTGCACGCATGGAGCTCTGGCTTTGGCAATGGTAGTGACAATGGTAGGCAACTTTGGGCTCCTGGTACTGTGCAGCTTCAGTGTGGGCCTGGGCTTCTCTTACTGCAAAAAAGCAGCAGTTCCAATATTAGCAGCCTCAATGGCACGTTGATCACGGGTCCTAGGTAACATCATTTTCTCTTTTCCTCCTCTAGTCCTGGGGTACGGTGTTTTCCAGTAGTTACTAATCTTTTTGTTTTTGCAGCCCTTCCAACACTTTTGCAAACAATTGGCTATATTAAATTCCTTTTGTTTGAATAGAGTAATCTATGTTTTTCTAAGTGGACACTAGATGATACACTTTTCTTCTTGGGCATCCAACTAAGCTACATTTTCCCTCCGTTTTAGTTAGATGTAGCTGAATTCTAGACTATGGAATGTGACTAAGTGATATACGCTAGATATAACTCTGACTTATAACGTCACTCTACAAATATTTTACATTTCTATAGACTGTGAAGCAGCCACAAATTCATTCATGGTAGTAGAATAGTAGGTGAATAGCAAAACTACTTCATTTCTGGGGCAAAGATTTATTTATTTTATCTTACTTATAGTTGGAATAAAAATTGTACTAGTTTTTTTTTTTAAAGGTTTTTATTGGGGAATTGGGGGGATGGGAACAGTGCTGGGGAATTGGAGGAAGGGGAACAGACAAGTTGCTGTCCTTTTGTTCTTCAGTCTAGTTGTGGAGGACGTCACTTCATTGGCCCAATTTGGCACCATCATTGCGCTCTTCCCGGGTGAGGCAGATCAGTCGCCGGCTTCTGGATGGCCACTCACTGTGGCTGCTGGCCGCTCACGCTGGCTGCTGGCCACACACAGTAGCCCATGGCAACCCACTGCAGCAGGGGCTGCAGCCTAGCTCCAGGTTGAGCTGTTGTTCAGCATCTTAGCTGTAGAGGGCAGTGTCACTGGCCCTCATATGTAGAATCTGAACCAGGGTCCTCTGGCGTCCCAAGCCAGCTCTTAACCAACGCGCCACTCGGCCGGCCCAAAACTGTACTAGTTTTGAATGACCCTAAATATTTTTGAATAAATGGGCAGATAAGCAAACATATGTGCAAAATGACTGGATTCTAAATATGACAGACACATGTATGACACAGTGGTCAAAGTGGGGTGTGTCTACTTTGGAGAATACCAATTTAAACATATGGGGAAGCAGAAGGCAATCTCTAGAGTGAGGGTAGAAACTATCGAAACTTTGCTATGTATTTTGTATCTTATCCTCTTATAATTTCTATTTTGAGTATGTTTTATAACATATGTAACATGGTAGTACATATATAATTTATACGTAAATACATATATAGGAAGTACATATGCAAAAATCTTGTACTGAAAGGCTGTATGATCAAAAACATTTAGAGATCATTGGCAAACTATATTAATTTAAAGGTCTTGAAATAGTATAAGCAACATGACAGTGTTATAAATTCACAGTGTATTTAATAAAGGGGTGGATGGATAGGAAAGTGTTTAATATGAAGAAATACATCTAGAATTAGATGGGTTACAGTTTTAGCTCTATCTCTTCCTCTATAATACTGGACAAGTTAATTAGCCCTGGCCTCATTTCTTATCAAATATGATTAGGCTAATTTGAGGTTTTCATATTTGTACTCAGTGTACTCCAGAGGTTTTAAAGAGTTTCTGCAGAGCCCCTGTAAAGGTGGGAGGAAGGGAAGACTACAGGTGGCTTCTAGCCTTGCTATATTGCTTTATCTAGAGTACCTAGCTCCCTTTGTACAGGGTGAGAACAGAGGGGTTGAAAGAGAGGGGAAGAAAAGAAAACCATGGGGCTAGATAACTTCTTAAGATCCTTTTTCATTTTAAGGGCAAATAAAATTTAAAGTTATTATAACTAATCTCCGGTATTAAGAATAAAAACCTACCTAAATATTAGACTATATCTTAGTAAGTATAAAACTCCAGAGTGAGATAAAACACAATTAAACAGTGAAAGCCATTATTAATATACTGTCTGATGTAAAATACAAGGTTGCACTATTAATAGTCTAACATCTCAGTTGGCCTTTACTTAACTCTACTTACTTTACAAAGTCAGTGACAAGTATAACTTCTGCAGTGGCTATATTTTTTTCATATATATATATATATATATATATATATATATATTTAAGATTTTATTGGGGAATTGGAGGAGGGGAACAACATTGGGGAATTGGGAAAGGGGAACAGACAAGTTGCTGTCCTTTTGTTCTTCAGTCTAGTTGTGGAGGACGTTGCTTCACTGGCCCACATTGGTATTATCATTGCGCTCTTCCCAGGTGAGGCAGTTGCTCACCGGCCACTCATGGCAGCTCATGGCAGCTCATGCTGGCTGCTGGCCGCTCACGCTGGCTGCCAGCCACTCACAGTAGCTCACAGCAGCCCACTGCAGCAGGGGCTGCATCCTATGCCATCGCCGGCGACTCATGGCAGCCCAGCTCCAGGTAGAGCTGCTGCTCACCATCTTAGCTGTAGAGGGCAGTGTCACTGGCCCTCATGTGGGATCCGAACCGGGGCCTGTTGCTCAGAACTGGCGTCCCAAGCCAGCTCTTAAGCAACCCACCACTCGGCCGGCCCCTAAAATATTTTTATCGACTTATTTATGTGATTAATTTAATTGGTTAATAGGGAAAGAAGGAAACCAAAAAAGATCCCAGAGAGAGAAGAAAGAGTTGGCAGAACAAGAATAATTAACAGTGTCCTTAATTAAATGGTTGCAGTTGAGCACCTCTTGCAACAGCACATTAAAAATTTCCAGGATATTGGGGCGGCCAGTTAGCTCAGTTGGTTAGAGCACGGTGCTCATAACATCAAGGTTGCCGGTTTGATTTCTACATGGGCCACTGAGTTGCGCCTCCACTACTAGTGAAACAACTACTGAACTTGGAGCTGATGGCTCCTGGAAAAAACACTGTTCCCCAATTAAAAAAAAAATCCAGGATAACACCTGAAACTAATAAAAAAAATTTACAGTATGAAAATATTTGAAACTGACTAGAAATTTGGCTGGCCTGTTCTGAGCAAATATTTTATGTGTTGTTTCTAAAATTACCTCTGTGTGGCCTTTGAGACTCCATATTGGTATTTTCCTGTTTCATTTACATGAAAAATTGAGAACATTTTATTTCACTACATAATTTATGGGCTACATTTTACACCCCCTTTCTTTCCACTTGATTGTTCAATTCCGTTGGGGTATTCCTGCTCCCTTGACTTCCAGAAAAAGCACCAGTATACTTACAACGCATCCGTGCTGGGCTGTGAAACAGTGTTTTTAAATCCTATATATCATAGTGTCATTTAAGTAACAGCAACAGTTCCAATATTAGCAGTCAGAAATCATTCTTACAGTCCTCTTACTTTCCTTTCAAAGTTGTATTTTGCAATTGGGGCTGAATTATGTCGGGGGAGTTATCAATGGGCAAGGCGCTTGTAAACTCTTTCCCTGAAGCTTGCGCTGTTTGGAGTCTACTTACCATCCTGACTCCGCAGGAAAGCAAGACACATCATTCAGTACCATTTTGCTCAAATCACCCACTCTGGTTTGAAATGTTTTCAATTTACATATACAAAAATACAGGTTACCCTCATCTATGACATAATCTGTCCTACTCCCCGCCCCGTTAAAAAAAGACTAAAACAACACAGAATCCCACTGGAACTTAATAAAAGACTGACATCATAGCTACCCACCGCCGGCAGCCGGGATCTCGTCTCAAGCCTCACTTCCTCCAGCCCCACCTCCAAGCCCGACAGATTTCCTTGCCCCGCCCCTGCCCTCACAGCCAATGGGGCGTCCCGCACCACCGGTAGCAAGTCTAGGGAGCCGCCCTTTCATCGCCCCAGGCTGAAGCTGGGCATTTACCCCACCTTTTCCGGGTTGCGCGCATGCGCGCTCTCACTGGGTCCTGGAGAGACGCTTAGGGATCGATTTTCCTTTCCTTTCTTTCCCGATCGCGCGACTCTCCAAAACCCTTCCCACCCTACTGTTGCTGAGGATCCTTCTAGTCATTCACAGAAGGTGCTGCTCCGGCCTTGGGTGTCAGTACCCGGATGTGGAGCCGGTCTCGCCTGGCGGGGACTCTGTGGCTGGGCGGAGCGCGGCGGCTTGTGTGGGGGCAGAGAGAAGGGGGCCCCTGGGCCGTGGCGCTAGCCGGACGCCGGGAGGTACCACCGCTGCCCACGGGGGAGGAGGCGGCCCCGGCCCTCGGGCGCCCGCCCCAGAGCGAGGGGCTGGGGGAGAAAAAAGGCCGGCAGTTAAGTTTGCTCCCCGCCGCCCTCGCCGTCCCCCCCGGGCTAGCCTCCCCCGGCCCCCTGCGCTCTCCGTGCTCCCAGCCGGGGGAGAGCGTGGTTTCCTGGCGGCCGTCGCTGTAGCCTGGCGGGGGAGCCCGGAGGAAGCGGAGGAGTCCCCGCCCACGACCCTCTCCCCTCTGCCCGCCCGCCGCCGCCTCAGAGCCGCTGCGGTCCGGCCTCCAGTCTGAGCCGGGGGCGCGGCGGCGGGGGCAGGGGCGCTGTGGGTTCGGCGGGGATCGCGCCGCCCGCCCCGTGAGTTATTCCCACGTCCCCCGGGGCTCGCTGCCGCCCCCGCCGGCGCCGAGAATCCGGCCCGGGCCCAACTCCCTCACGGGCCCCCCGGCGGCAGCGGCGGCGGCAGCAGCGGAGCCCACCGCTCGGGCCCTGATGAGTAACTCCCGGAATAACCGGGTGATGGTGGAAGGGGTCGGGGCCCGAGTAGTGCGCGGCCCGGACTGGAAGTGGGGCAAGCAGGACGGCGGCGAGGGCCATGTGGGCACTGTCCGGAGCTTCGAGAGCCCGGAGGAGGTGGTGGTGGTGTGGGACAACGGCACCGCCGCCAACTACCGCTGCTCCGGGGCCTACGACCTGCGCATCCTGGACAGCGCGCCCACGGGTAAGCCATGGCCACCTGGCCCCCGGCCTGCGCGCGTCGAGGGACGGGGCGAGGCTGGGGGTGGGGGTGGGGGGCCGGCTGGGAGAAGCCCTTGGCGAAACGCTTCTCCCGCAGTGTCAGGCTGGAGTGAGCGGAAAGGGAAAGAGCCAAGGCGAGTTTTGTTTACCAGGTTAAATACCTGGTAAACAAAAACTTGCAGAAAAGATCCCCTTCCCCCCCCATCCCCAAGGGAAATGATGGCAGCACTATCACCAGGATGCTTTCAAGTCTGAAAGGCACAAAGCACCGGGGAGACAACAAACAGGCAGTTCCCCTCCTCCTCCTCTAGAGAAGTGGTCTGGAGAGATCTAATAAGCCATTGAAATTAATCAGCCACCAAATGATAACTGTCTGAGGGGAGGCTTGCCTTGCCATATGGTGTTTAGTTGACCGGTTACAATTGCTGAGGGGCCCTTGGTACCTCAGATTTGTTCTCGTGCCCCCCCCCACACACACACACACATAAAGACTTGGAGTTCAGTAGCCAGTTTCTTGGGACCCTGTGGAATCAATTTTCACCTAAATTGTTTCATTTTATATCGCTATGCCAATAGAGTGAAAAAAGTCTAAGCTGGTGAATCATTTAATTGTTACTTTTTTAAGCGGAAGGTAGGCATAGGGGACACTGTATATAGAAATAGCTATATATATATATATATATAGTTAAGACCTCATTGCATATGTAAGTTTATGTTAGAGACTTACTGATTAACACAGTAATGAATCTGTCTTGATTCATAAAATTTCAGGGATCTGTTATGAACTCTAGAATTTGTATATAATATAAACTGAAGGCTTGCTCTCACAAAATAAAGATCTAATTTATTTTTTTTAATTTTTATTATTTTTTATTTTTTAAGATTTTATTGGGGAATCGGGGAAGGGGAACAGACCAGTTACTGTCCTTTTGTTTTTCAGTCTAGTTGTGGAGGACATCCCTTCACTGGCACATGTTGGTATTATCATTGCGCTCTTCCTGGGTGAGGCAGTCACTAGCTGGCCATTGGACTGCTGCTCAAGGCTGCTCGTGAAAGCCCGCTGCTGGCCAGCTGCTGGCCAGCCCCACTGCAGCCTACGTGGTCCCTGGCGACTCCCTGCAGCTCAGCTCCAGGTTGAGCTGCTGTTCACCATCTTAGCTGTAGAGGGCGCAGCGTCACTGGCCCTCATGTGGGATCCCAGCCACAGCCCTGCTGCTCAGAGCTGGCATCCCAAGCCAACTCCTAACCAGAGCACCACTTGGCGGGCCCCAGATCTGATTTATTTTAATCAAATTAATTTTCACATAGATTTATCCTTAACACTCTCTTCAGTAGAAAATAGTTCAAATTTAAAATTTGATACTTGTTAGAATGTATAAATAAGATACTTCTAAGGCTCTGTGATTGTGTTTGACAAAGCCTAACAAATCCTGAAATGGGTACATAGTTATTGTTTACACCAATAGAAAGGGAAATAAACACAAGCCAACTCAATTTTTGAATAGATAATTCATAAAATTGTGTTTCTTAGCTCAGTTTTTATTTATTTTTGTTTATTTTTTTTTTGGTAGCAGAGTTTAGTTTTATTAGAGCAGAAAGTAACAGCTCTCGAAACGAGAGGGGGTCCCAACTGGGATGTCACGCTTAGCTCACTTTTTAAACATTGAAAAAGGTGAATGTGCATGTAGGACCAAAAGAAAAGTTTTAACCATACAAAAAGGGGCAGCCATTATTAACAGTTTCTTGTGTATTCTTACACAATACTCAATTAATTGCAAGCATATATATTAATATACTGTAAATATGCTACGCTTTTAAAGCACAAATGGTAATAAATTATATTTTCTACACTTTTGTTTCTTAACTTAATACATATTGGTGACTGTTGTTCCATGTTAGAGCCTTATTCTATCATAGCTGCATAGTATTCCAGTGACTGGATGCAGTATTTTATTTCACCAGTCCTTTTTTGATGGACATTTACATTGTTGCAGGTATTACTTACAATGATGCAGTGAATAAATCTTTGTACATGTGTTCTTGTGCGTATGTGCTGAATACTTATGAAGTGGAATTGCATCAAAGGGTACACGTATTTAACATTTTGATAGATATCAACTAAAGACATTTTACCAGTTTACACTCCAACAGCACTGTATGAGCCATATACCTGTGTATATACACTCTTAAAAAATTTTATCATGCTCGCTCAAGCTGAGGTTGGACCACAACTCAGTAATTTGGAGGCATCTTGGGATCAATAATTCTAAGTTTATGGGGAAATTTAAATATTTTTCCAGGGTAAAGGTAAGGTGTAACAAATCCTGTACTACAGTGACTTTTTAAGGGATATTAATGTTGTCTATATGTTTTGTATTGTAGTATGGAATATATCTGTTATATAGATAGTTTCATTATCTTACATAAAGCAGATATTTTTCAAAGGTAATTTTTAAAATCTAAGTTTAATTTACAAGATAATTTTACACATTATTTACTTTGTTGCTTTGTAGCAGCTCATCTTGTTCATCTGATTCTTCTAGCAAACATTTTAAAAGCACTTCCAGATGCAGGGTAGCTAGTCTTCTTATGAAATGTTGGAACAAATTACAAGCTCTTGGCTCTGGCTTTGCCCCAGGAGTATCATACTACTTTCAGTGTTTTCTTTTTCCTTCAAAATATTTAATAATTGATGTCCACTGGCATTTTATTACATTCTGAAGATTTACTAAATATTATATTTATTATTTACAGTACTTGATATTTATTTGCATAATAGTTAAGATAAAAAAAATTTAACCTTTCATTCTGAAATAATTTCAGGCTTACAAGAAAATTACAAAACTAGTAAAAAGAGTTCCCTTTGGCCTTTCAGCCATCTGCTTCAGATGTTAGCATCTTACAAAGTATAATTATTGAAACCAGAAAAAGAATATTAATACAATACTTTTAACTAAAATCTACAGATCTTATTCAGATTTCACCAGTTGTCCCTCTAATTTCCTTTTTCTGGTCCAGGATCCAACCCAGGATCACACATTGCATTTAGTTGTCAATCAGTCTCTTCCAATGTGGGCCAGTACCTCAGTCTTTATTTGTCTTTCATGACCTTGACACTGACCAATAATTTTATAGACTATCCCTCAAATTGGGTTTGTCTAATATTTTCTCATGATTAAATTAAGATTATGTATTTTTGGCAAGAATATCATAGACGTGATGTTTTGCACTAAGAAGAACATCATATCAGTAGGTATAGGCTACTCATATATCTCATTAATGAGGGTGTTAACTTGGCCAAGTCACCAGTATTTTTACCCACCATTACTTTGAACCATCAGTGCAATGCCAGCATAAAAAAGGCAAATATAGTCTTGGTATTGTTTTGAAAATACTTTTGACCCATGAAGACCCTGAATGGGTCTTGGAGACTACCCTAGGGATTCTGGAACCACACTTTGAAAATTACTTCCTGAGATAGAATTTCTTATAGGGTATCAAGAGGCTTGTATAAGAATGTTCACAGCAGTGTTGTATGTAAAAGCAAACAATTGGAAAAAACTTAAAGGTGCATCAACAGGAGAATGGATAGACAAACTGAATTTATATACTAGAGCTCTGTACAGAAGAGAAAATTAATGTTAAGACAATAAAGCAAGAAAATAGTTTCTTGGAAAAGAACACCTATTGTGTTAAAGTGCAAAACAGTACTGTTTATTGTTTAGGGCAGGGTTGCTATTTTGGACGGATTAGATAATTTTTTGGTGTAGGGGGCTGTCCTGTGCATTGTAGGCCAGCGTCCTTGGCCTCTACCCACTAGTTGCAGTTATGATACCCCAAAATATTTCCAGACATTACCAATATTCCTGGGGAGTAAAATTGCCCCTGATACTCATTGGTATAGGGATATGATTGAGACTCATTGGTTTAGGGATATGTGCATGTATGGTAAAAGTATACTAAAAAAGTAATGATAAATGCTAAATTCCAGGGAATATGGATATCTTTATGTTGAAAGAAGTGGAATGCAGTTGATAGTAGTACCCCCCAGGGGCTGTAATTATTTTGGTAATGTTTTATGTCTTAAACTGGGTGGCGGATGCATAGGTGTGTGTTATATTTTTATGCCTTTTTGTGTGCTTGACATACGTATTTCATAGTTAATTTTAAAAAGTCTTAAGATATTACCAGAAAGACAACTGAGATTGTTTGATTATTCATTTTTTGTTCCTTTATATGAACAGAAAATTTACCCACATTATATGAACGGAAGATTTATTGCTGTATGTTTGGGAATTAAAAAATGGGTAACCTTTAAAATAAAATTCTGTGAAACTTTTCTGAGAGTTAAGGATTCTGGAGTGGTTGGGTCATTATGAATCTTTCTAATATTTCTTTATTGCACGTTGGAGATTTTGTGTTGGGGTTGTATGTGGGGTCTAATATTTTGGCATATAAGCTTTATTTGTTTCTTTTAAGGGACACATAAAAGTTTGAATTTATGGTCTAGGAGAGTCAAACCTTGGGAAGAGGAGCATTTAGTATATATTTGAATGATACAATTTCTGTCTTATATGCAGATATGTTTGACTAATTTGTAGTGAGCAAGATGATGGTGCAAATATATTTGTTATTATCGGAGTCAATTTTGTGAAGTCTGTAGTCAAGTACGTATAGTTGATCTTTTATTACTTAGGTACTGTTTGTATAGGATTTGGGGAGAAATGTGTTTTTATTTAATGCTTGTTTTGTGGACCCTTGACTATAGTGCTGTATTGTTAACCAGAGAAAGTGGAGAAAATGAATTTGGGTTTCCTATTAAAGTTCTTTCTACCCTCTTGGGTATGGATAAAAAAGTCAGGGGTGTAGATGATTAGGTTTATTCAGAAGTAGCCCCCATATTGTTTGTCCAGTCTGTTTTGGGGGCAGTTCCTTATACTTTTCTTCCACCCCTAGCAAAGAGGGCTTCCTGGGTGCGTCTAA